CTTTTTTTTTTTTTTTGAGTTGGAGTCTCACTCTGTCGCCCAGACTGGAGTGCAGTGGCCGCTCCCGGCCACCGCAGCCTCAACCTGCTGGGCTCCGGCGATCCTTCTGTCTCAGCCTTCCAAGTAGCCAGAATTACAGGCATGCGCTACCACGCCCGGCTGATTTTTTTATTTACTGTAGAGATGAGGTCTCGCTGCCCAGTCGGGTCTCGAACCTGCGGGCTCAGGCAATCCACTCACCTCAGCCTCCCAAAGGCGCGGGATTACAGGCTGAGCCACCGAGCCCGGCTAATTTCTTAATCTGATACATAAGGTTTATATCAGAAAGAGCCTAAAAAGTGGAGAATGGCCTAGGAGGACTACTCTTGTTCCTTGGTGAGAGATCAGAATATTCTCAAAGTCTGCAGCCATAGTTATTTTTTATTAAGCTTAAAACTGATGATAATTAGAAATGCTAATAAAAAAAACTCACATCATATATAAATAACTTTCTACCCCTATGCCCTCTCCTCACCAAAAAAGAAAGAAACAAAGCAGGAATACAAAGTTGTAGATGGCTTTCATTCTAGTGAACTGGTTTCATCCCATGAGTCAACTTTGATCAGGAATTGCAAATCATCTCTGCCACCAATTTGCTAGTTTTTATTTTTATTTTACATTTTAGAGTTGTGGGGTACATGTGAGGATTTACTACATAAGTGGATTGTATGCAGGTAGGGCTTGGGCTTCTAGTGAGTCCTCTGTCCCCTGGTAGCAGACCTGGTACCCAGTGTGTGGCTGTGTGCTCCTTATCCCTCCTCCTTCCCTGCTAAGTTGCTGTCTTAATTTACACAAATCTCTTTATTTTGAGTACTTCAGTGTCCTTACCTATCAAGTGAGAGTGATAACTATTCTGCCAATTTCACTCAGTTAAAATGAATGTTTATGGTCAGCACTGATGCTATGCCTACATAGGGAATTGTCACTAACTGGCTACTGTAGTGGGGTATGCTATTTAATTAGGTAGTTGCAAACTGCTATGACACCAGACTCATTCATCCTTTGAACCTCATAACCACCTTAAAAATAATTAGGACAAGTATTGATAAACAGAGAAAGAAGTATGAAGTGGTTATGTACCTAGCTTCATGTCACCCAGCTAATTAGGGACAGAGCCTAAAAATACAATTTCCTAATACCTGGTCCAGTGTTTTATTTGGTTGGGTGGTTGTTTTTTAAACTCTGCTGACTGGTTAGAAAGCACGGCACAGGAACTACTACTGGTCTGTATTCTGAGCAAATTCAACAAAAGTGCAAACATCCTGATTTAATGAATTAGGGAAATCAACTCTCTTTGCTGACCTGAAGTTTGGAATTTATGGAATAAAACCACATACCTTGATCTCTGGGAGCTGCATAACTTCAGGAAAGACTTCAATGCAATTGGAGTGGGCAATCACAGTGTGCATGCGTCTGCAATTCATGATAGTTGTTGGGATGGCTTTCAGTTTATTCCCACTGATATCAATTTCTTCAAGTTCTTCCAGTTTTGCCATTTTACTAAAAAAAAGGAAAATCCATGGGGAAGGAGTTATAAAATAATTATATGGCAACTAAAGTTTTCAATTAGCAATAATCGTGCCTCAGGTAAACCTCATTGGCTATGATACTGCCACTAGGCAAAGCTGTATAAGGCAACTTAAAAAGAAAAATATATATAATGAGGAGCAAAAGGTGAATTTACTATGACTTTCAGGATTCATTTGTAATAGTCACTTTTACAAATAAGAAAAAATTTTCACTACTGTTTTGGAATATCAAAGTATTTTAGACCTCCTTTCCCACTACAGGACAAAAACGATTAACTTCAACTCTTCAAATTGGCAACAAGAAGGAAAATGGGTACCCTTTCTTACTAAAAATCTGTGTGTAACTTAAGTTACCCTGGCAACAACCACTCTGCTCTGCAGCTTAGTTTGAACTCTAATGAAAATCCTATTTAAATGGGTCAAAAGTCAATATTAATCCAATATAACTCCCTTAAAAGAGCTTAACTAGAGAATATGATTTCTTTTTGGTAGCAATGAAAATTCAAGGGGAGATGAGCTTTTTCTACAAACTCCACTCCCCAAATTCCTCTGACACCACTGATGAATACAAGGTGGTAGGGAAGAGCAGGGGTAAGTTGCAAGCCCATCTGGATCATCTCCTGGGCTCTGGTAGAGTCTGAATTCAAACCAGCCCCTAAGGACATTTCTCTCAACTCTTGCTGAACATCTACAAAAATGGAACTTCTCTAGCCTTATCTATAAAATGTTCTAATGCAATTAATCCAACACTTCCATTTAAGAATGTCTTCTATTGTTCAATCCTCATCTATAATTTTAATTACAGTAACCAAGAAAAATTTTAGAATCAGAGTTTCTGAAATGGAGGAAAAACAACCCCTCCACCTCTGTAATCACTGTAAACGCATCTACCGTGGCTCTGACCCTCTTTCTGCCACTGATAACGCTGGACTCCAAGAAGTATAGGATTCCCAGTTAGTGTGACTCAAATTTGTCACCTGAATCAATTAGTTTCCAGTTATCAGTATCTTTTCTACATGTTACAGTTTCATTGGTCACAATACACTTTTAAATAGTTAACAGAAAACATTTAAATGTTTCTGTCATCTTTCAAATATAAAGGTTATCTTATTTGCTTATCTTGAAAAATAAAAACAAATATCCATGCTTCTCTTTAAGTTCTGGTCCCCTCCCCAATCTGGAGGAGGTGGATCCCCCTTTTCTCTCTCTCTAATCTACTTCCTAAATAAACCGTATTTTCCAATCTAAAAAACAATGTGCCTAATATACAACAAGAACTAAGGTTTTATCTTATAAAATTAGATATTTAAATACCATAAATATACAACATGGTATCAGTGTATCCCATAAAAAACATTACATACACAGACTGAAGTAATCCATCTATGATAGTCTGAATTTGTAAGAATATTATTTAAACATTATCTTAATATTTTGAAAGAAATATGGAGAAACCAATGGGTAATGCTGTATGAAAAATGATTAAGAGTACAGAAGACAGGCCCAAGATAGGAAAAGTTAAAGGAAATGTTGACCTCTCAATATAGAAAGAAGGTGGCAAAAGACCTGAAGTCAAAATAACTGGATCCCTGGGGCATGTTTTTTTAATTTAGCGATCATTTGTTGAATGTGGGCTACGGCCCAGACCTTGCATGATATGTGAGGCTAAAGGAGATGGGAAGGTCACAGCCCTGGCTCCTATAGTGCTCAAGTCTTGTAAGCGAGCTACTGAATTGTATCACAACCCCCAAGGGAGAGAGAAAGTATTGCAAGATGGGCTTTTACAAGGTCCATAAAAACTTCTCTGCACTCAGGGTGGGTGATTATTCTTGGCATGAGGCACTGGGGGGATATCCTCAGAATTAGAGCTGGTGATCATTTCTCCTGTAGAGTTTAGACATTCACCATCTGAAAGAAGGGGATGGGGTCTTCTAGGTGTACTGCTGTTATGTGATTGCCATGTGTTTTTCCAAAATATTATCTCTCCATTCTATGGTAAAGTAAAAGCACATGAAAGTAAACGAAAAATGGTTTGCTAATATCAAATGAGGGGAAAAATAAGAATAAAAGCAATACTTTAAGACAACAAATACCTGGGCCTTCCTCCTTCAGTAAGGCTTGAACAGACTGGCGGCCCTGACAGCAGCAGAGGAAGGCTGTGCTAGTATTCTGATTTGGCCCCAGTGCTGAGTTGCAGTTACCAGCAGAACACCAGAGGAGTTAAGTGCTCGCTTCTTTGATATGTAGGTGTGTGTTCCAAGCCATAACTTGTTAGATGGATAAATGCCAATGAAATAGAAGCAGAGTAAATCTCCATGGCAGATCCCGTATAGATTCACTCAAAGCTAGATACAATGCCACTGCTCCCCCAAATAGAAATTAAAATGAAAACAAATGTAAAATGGAATCTTCTGAGAGCCATAAATCTGCAATGTCATAGTTTCTATGATTGCATAGGCCACTGCTGGTTTGTACATCATGAGTACAAATACAAAAGCTGGTAGATAATGAAGAAGCTTCAGGATTCTGGTTAACATTCTAATTCTTGCACACTATATTGGGCTGATTTTTTTTGAACCTTTATTATTTTTCATTTTACTTTATTTCTTCAGTGACAGGGTCCTGATGTATTTCCCAGGCTGGTCTTGAACTCCTCAGCCTGAGTGATCCTACCTCTGTCTTCTGATTAGCTGGGACTATAGGTACATGCTACCATGCCTGGTACTAGGTTAATGTTTTAAAAAAAATTAATTTGGTTACAAAGAAGTAAAAGAAAATTTACTTGCTAAACAACACACCTTATTTCAAAATCTTAAGAATATTCTTGTGATTAGGTCTTTAGGTACATTCCTATTAGGAAACTCAGTGCATTTCTCTTTAGGGAGATCATACCTTGTATGAAAGACAACTGTGAACACAGAAGGGTCATGCGAACAAGTTTATATTACCTGGGAAATAAACATTTCAGCTTTTGCCTTTCCCCTTTTTATCTATGAATATGTCTTTTAAAATGCAATTAAGAACATCATCTTATGACCCTACTTTACCTTGCTGGAAAACTTTGAAGTCGGTTATAGGCCATGTGAAGGATCTTCAGATGAGGGTGTCCGGTTAACAAGGGCACACATTTATCTGTGAGGTTGTTATTTGTCAAATACAACTCTTGTAAGATACTGTTTGTCTCTTCAGAAAGCGTGGCAGGAGGAAGGGTTTCCAGTTTGTTTGCAGATGCATTCAGGAATCTCAGGCTATAATGACAAAATTCAACAAAATGCCGTTGATAAGCCACAGCTGTAGTTCAGAACCCTCAACAAATCTGAAAGCTTTCTCATTGACACCAGGCATAGGTAGAAGCCAGGTTTAGAAGTATGAATGAAAAGACAAGCCCTGGCTTTAAGGAGTTCAATTTAGCAGGCATACTGATCTCTGACCAACTAGCTATGATGAATACAGAGCTATCTGTATGTATCAAATACAAAGAGACTTAATAGTCTTCTGTATGTATCAAAGACAAAGAGACATAATTGTTTTTTCCCCGAAGTACAAGGGTAAGAAGAAGTGATTACTTTTATAGTGGTTATAGTGGTGAAAGTGGAAAAGAAAGTGATATGGAGCTGGGCTAGGTGGCTCAGCCTGTAATCCTGCACCTCGGGAGGCTGAGGTGAGTGGATTGCCTGAGTCCGCGGGTTCGAGACCTGCCTGGGCCACTCAGTGAGACCTCATCTCTACAATCAATCAAAAAATTAGCTGGGTGTGGTAGCACGTGCCTGTAGTTCTAGCTACATGGAAGGCTGAGGCAGAAGGATCACTGGAGCCCAGCAGGTCGAGGCTGCGGTGGCTGGGAGCAGCCACTGCACTCCAGTCTGGGTGACAGAGTGAGACTCCAATTCAAAAAAAAAAAAAAGAAAGAAAGTGATACGGTAAAGTTAATATTTTGGTTTAGGGAGAGACAAACAATTTCCTATTTTTTAATAAAAGGGTTCTTACAGTAATAAAAAAAAATAGGCACTAGATCACAATACAACTAAATCGCATGGTAACTACATCCTATTCAGTAAGATGTCCAAACCATATTTTACTGACATTCACAATTGCAGGAGATAATCTGCTCTGCGTTAAAATAACAGAATATAATACAGCAATGAGAATAAAGAACTACAACTATGTGCATCAACAGGATGAATCTCACAAATAAAATGCTGAGCGAAAGAAGCCAGACACAACAGGATACACTGCATGATTCCATAACTATAAAGTTCAAAGTCAGACAAAACTACTCTATGGTAATAGAACTCAGGATAGTGGCAACTCTTAGGTGGGGAAGGTGGTAGTACCCAAGACATGGTGTGTAACATTCTAATATCGTAATGTTTGGTTTCCTAGTCTAGGTGCTGGTTGCACAAGTGTGTTCACTTTGAGAAAATTCATCAAGTGCTATATTTATGATTTGGCAACTTTTTTATATCTACCTAAATAAAACTTACACTAAAACAAACAAGATAATATATATGCTGCCACAGTTTCCAGATGATAGAGTGAACAACGGGTAAGATACAAAGAATGATTTTTTTAAATCTAAGATAACTAAAACAGTTAAAAATTATGTGAACCTCCACAGTTATTGTGAAACATGGATAAATGCACAACACAAAGCTAGGGAACTGTAACAGAACCCATGCTATGATCAGATTCTCAATCACTCCAAAGGATAGGAAGGACAGAGCAGGGAGCAGCTGTGTCACGGCTCAGGAGTTAGAGATGCTCATGATGGATGTCCAGTCATGCAGCAGCCACAACTAGAAAATGGAGCATGGTCAGTGGGTAAGTCTCACCGGCGAGTGTTAGGATAGATCTACCTCTCCTCCCCTCCCAGATCTACCCAGTTAACAAACCACATTACTCTCTGACTTGCAACTTGCACCATTCAATTCAGAACCATTCTCCCAAATGTTAAAAAATAAAACAAAATCTTTAAAAATGAAGAACACGGAATGTCAAGTTGAGTTATTTTTAATCTTGGATAGAAAAAAAAAAAGCTTCATATTAGTAGCCCTCACCAAGACTGTCATCCCAAGCTCTCATTCCACTCATTAACACTCTTCAGTCATGCATCCAACCCCCACCCCCCCACACCAACTCCATTACTTATCTGAGGAAAAGCAGCTTCCCCAAAATAGAACATTTTCCATTAAAGAAACACGTATTCCGTTGACATTTTTAAAAAAAGGAAGTTAGGGAGAAGGGCTGTACAGACCATAAATAGTCATGGGAAATTATAGTCGTGTGTGCTACAGAGAAGAAAATAAAGGTCACTCATGCAGTTTCTGAAATGGTTTTGAACTAGGAAGGAAACTAGTTTCAGCACTACAGTTCTTTAGAGTATTTTTATGAAACTGCTTCTTTAGGGCCCATTTAGACCACCTGACTTAAATTTCCTGTTAAGAATTTCTTCAGTGTAGAATCAGAATAAATTAAAATGTAAGAAATACATTTTACTGCTCTAAAATATCGTGGAGCGGATTGGCTGAACAATCTAGAACAATCTCATTAAAACAGAATTCTCTAGAAAATATGTAGTTACAGATACATGGAGAAGAAAAGAGAAGAGGGAGTGAATTCATGAGTGTTTGCATATTTTGAGGCCAGAAAAAAGAGGGACTGTGGTTTTAAAAACAGAGACCACTGAAGCTTATCTAGAAAGCTACCAAGAGACTTTAAAATTCACTCATAGCATCTGAATAAGGGGAAGAAGTGATTTCCAAAGAGACATATCCTTTCGTCTTTTCAAAATGTGCTTGTATTTAAGGAACTATATACTCTTTATGCAAAATTAAGGGGGGGGGGAATCCCACATTGTCCCCTTCCAAGGAACGAAACTAGTTAGTTAGAACTACATGGGCTGGTTCCAAAGAACATCACTGGAACTGCATAACGTCTGACTGAGTCACCTTATTGGTTAATGGTCAAAGAACAAACAATTGGACTAAAATATTTTTTATTATCATGGTCTCAGAAAATTAAAGGGTCTCAATATACCCACTGTCTTTAATCAGTCTTCCCACAACCTCACAAAGTTTCAGAATAAGGCAAATTTAATTTGATTTAATGGTCTAGATGCCATCCTTCCACCACAATGGATGACAACTTTAGTTTTACAAAGTGTTTCGGTATAGATAACAATTTTATTTAACAAATAGACTATAAAACCCCACGCCCTGCTTTTCAATCTTGTAAAAAAGCTAAATTCCTACACTGAGTTTAGTCTCAACTCACTATGATGTGATAACTATCCTCAAGCTTCTCCCTTACAGAATTTTGTAAGAGCTGTATACAAAAAGACCATTTAATATGCTAAGAGCTGTTTCATCTACATAACTTACTTAATATGCAAACTGCAATGTGGTATCACTGCTTTTTTTCCTTCCATATGTAAGGTGCTTTGTAGATACCACAGATCTCTCTTATTTTCTATTTCATTTGATTTTCCAAAATATCCCCACCCCCCATTTGTTCATATTTCACAAAATAAAAGGTAGAAACTGAAGCTAAGAAAGTCAAATTGCCTGGCAATGGTTCAATAGTAACTAGTGACAGAGCCTGAAATAAAATCCACAATCCTCTAACATCTCTCTCTAAAATTCAAACTTAAATAAATAACAATAATAAAATCCCTTTCCTGGGAATATTTTTTCACAGGCTCTTTACTCAAAAAAAAAAAAAAAAAAGCTGGGAGTCAAGCAGGGCACCCACTAGGTGACATGAAGACCATATGTGCACAGCACTTCAAACTCGATTCTTAAAACAAGTTAACAAACAGCACAGTCCTAAAAAACTTTTCTTAGCATAAAGTGCAAAAGTCATAAAGAAAAGACAGATATGGCTCCTGCCCTGAGGCACTTGGAAAGTCACCCACAACAGCAATGAAACAAATCCACTTCCTGCTTCTCAGGCAATTGCTCGGTTTTGCCTTGGCACATTCTGTCCATCTGGCTCATCTGTTTTTTGTTTTGTTTTGTTTGCTTTTTAGTAATTTACAGCATACCCTTAAATTTTATAGCCAAATTCTGTCCTTGAAACAGAGCACAGTACCATAACAGATTTACCTGTTTATAGGCACACCAGTCATTGTGCATTTAAATAATTTTTCTGGAGATCAGTACTAGGACTTATTCTATTACCAATCTTAATAGTTAAAACTGTCTAAGTCCAACAAAGCTCTTCTACTTTCAGACAACCCTTATTTTGGTCTCCAAAATGTTCCACAAGTGTCAGAACACTACAATTTCTTATTATTGCTTATCTTTACAACACAGTACTTTTGACAATTTCAATCTCCTTCACAAGGTTGATAGCTTAAAGCAGTTTTCAAACTTTTATGATGATAACCAAGAATACAAAGTACATTCTACCTGATCAGCCAGTACTCATGATATGTAACTGAAACAAATTTACATAAAGCACCTAATCTTACTCAGTCATACATACTGATATTTTCTCTCCTATTTTATTTTTTTAAGTGTTGGTTGTAACCCACTATATTAATGTTATACCCCACTAATCATTCTAAAAGGACCACAATTATTTACTGTCTTTTAACACTACCTAAGAGTGAGGTTTGTATGGAAGAAAAAGTGCACACAATAAAACAGAACTCACACCATCATTATATTTGAAGGTTGAGAAATTGCTTGGCTTGGGGCAAAAAAAAAAAAAAAAGGTTGTAAGCCTACCAAAAAAAGAAACAAAAATTATATAGATTTGAGAACTGTCAAACAGAAACCCAAAAAATTAATTTTAAAGATTCATTCAATACAATTAACATTGATGCAATACTATAAATTAATCTGCAGACTTTATCCTAATTGTACCAAATATCCCACTAATGTCCTTTATCTGGTCAAGGATCCAATCCAGGGTCTCACATTGCATTTCATTATCATGCCTCCTCAGTCTCCTCCAATCAGTCTTACTGTCTTAAGTTACCTTGATTTTTTGAAGTGTACTAGACAATTTTGTAAAATGACTCTCAATTTAGGTTTGTTTCATGTTTCACCATTAGAATAAGGCCATGTATTTTTTACAAAAAATACCACAGAAGCTGCGTCCTTCTTAGTGCATCATATCAAGAGATACATGACATGGTACACACCAGGAGGTATAACTAGCCAATGTCTTGGTGATATTAACTTTGAGCAGGTTTGTTTCTCCCTTCAAGTTTTACCTTTTCAGTGTTTTTCTGGCTATTCTT